CAGCCTCTCCTGCAGACTTCTTTCCATCTGTCTGGGTGTGACTTAGGGCTGAACGATTAATCGATTTTAAATCGAAATCGCGATTTGAAATGATGCGATTATGAAATCGCAAAGCCTGCGATTTTTTTTAACATTTTTTTTTCTTCAATTATTATTATTATTTTTTTCTATTTTTTTTAACTTTTTCTTGTGTCTCAGTCATCCACACCAATCAGAAGTGCTGTGCTCCACATGTACCAGCCATTGTTAATCAATCAGAAGTAGCCCATGATAGAAGGTGATAGACAGATTGATCCAATCACCTGTCAAGTGCTTCTGAAAGTGCCCGCCCTTTCCAAATGGCTTCCAATGAGCTTTCCTAGATGGTTTGGTGAAACAAACCATCTGGGTCAGGTCAGTAATGCTCCATCACATGTTTCTATTACAGGGTGCATCTTAAACTGAAGCTTGACTTTAAAGCAACCCAACATAAGTTTAGTTTTTTCACTCGTAGCTCGGGCTGCGGTGGGGCTAGAGACGGGAGCACGTTGATACGACCTTCTTAGCCGGAGATATGGCCGCATTTTACAATAAACATCCGTTGGGTCTAGGGCTGCAACAAACGACTAATTTGATAATCTATTAATGAAACGATTAATCGACTATTCGGACTATTATGCCTTGCACAATTTCTCAAGCGCCCTTATTTATCAACTTTTAGATTTATCTTGAGGTTGTTTTAGGCATGTGGAAACTAACAATGAAGACAATAAAGATGAATACTTGATTCAAAAATACATATATTATTAAATTAACTAAACACATTTTGAACAAAATTAACATAGCTTTTTATTTAAATTAAATAAATAATATTTCACATCAAAAGAAACAACAGTGTTTTAACAAATCGTATTAAATAATGTGATGACAGAACTGTAAACAGAATAGCTGAAACTTTAACAAAATAAGTAACTCAGTTACCTCTAATCATTAACCCATGTTTGTATAATGTAGTTAACTCTGTGTGTTGCTGCTAGCATACATAACACCTGACGTGGAAACGTTACTCGATGGGGCTACAGAGCTGCTAGAAAGACAGTCGAACCCGGTGCATTCCTCCGTCTGGATGTGGAGCACTTTTGCTAAATGTTTAGACAAATTGCTCGTGTTACCGCCCTTACATGCTAAACTCTTATTGCACTTTTGGTAACGAGGATTGTCCACATCGAGACGGGTAAAGTGTAACCACACCTCGGAGCGCGTTCTGTGTTGCATGCATACATGCATTACATGCATGTAGCAGCTGCGGGGGAGAGACATCTCGTCTGATCGAAAATACATCATAGACGCATTTGTTTGTCTTTTTGCATATTAGAAACGAGTTGGTGACACTAAGACTGCGATATGTTTTTGTAGCAATAATACATGACATATATTTTTTAAATGTCTCCAGTACCGATAAAAAGACCAATAACGTTGGAGCTTAACGGCGCGTAAAACACACGTGATGACGTCACCAACGAATCGACGACTGAATTAGTTGGTAACTAATTTGGTAATCGATTTTAATCGATTAAATCGATGAGTTGTTGCACCCCTAGTTGGGTCGCTTAAAAACAAATATCGCAATTCGAATCGCAATATTTGTCAGAAAAATCGCAATTAGATTTTTTCCCAAAATCGTGCAGCCCTAGACTGACTCTGTGACGGATGTGCTTAATTTGTTCTTCTCACCGACTCCCGGTTGTCTTTGGAGGATGCAGCTGTTTGTGCTACTGCTTGTTCAACGACAGCAGACCAGAGCAAACACCCGGGCCAGCAACATATGTGCAATTGAAGCTAGCTTCTTGGATGGCATCATGTTTGGAAATGTACATAAAGGATTTATTTGTATGCCGTGTTGGATTTCTCAAAGGAAAATGACGTTTATATTAAAGCAAGATGGATAAGTTCTTGAACTATTCAGATTAAAACAAATGTATTTAATAAAGAATCTGATTCAGCCAAAAGTGTCTGAGATCCCTGCGACTAGATAAGATTAGGATTGAGTTGAGTTTTTATTGTCCTTTTTCAGTTCTGGCACAGTAACCAAACCATTGACTCATTTTCAATGTTCTATAAAAAGACTCAAAACTCTTTGGAGGGTGCTCTCTATATAGCAAAAAGAAGTGCCCTGTGTGTGCGTATGTATTTCTGTGTGTGTTCGTGTGTGAGTCACTGGCTCCTGTTGGTCTGTGTCTGCAGACCCACAAATAAACAGCAGTAAGCCAGCTGGAAATGGGGAAAAGGCGCAGGCTTCTCTCAGTCTGTATACGGGTTAATACAGTTCATGGGAAAAAGAACCAAACACCCACACGCACTACATGTGATGCTATGTGCACATGTGCAAAAAAGCACACACTCCACCCTTCATCTGTGCCTTTGAATTTCCCTATCATTGCTGACCAGGTGTATGCAGCCGACATTACACAATTGTTTTTTTGTTGTGTGAATCACCACCGGTGCCATTCACTACTTACTGTTTATGTGTGTGCTATGCAGGTAACATCTGTGTCTTCAGAGTCCCACTCATCCTCCCCAGCAGAGGTTACATGAGAGGGGGTTCATCTGTGTGCCAACATGGAGCTTCCTTGACCTCTTGGGTCTTGTTAAAGGTTCTAATGGAAGAAAGACTGAGAGGGCTTTGTCCACTGGAGCCCAGCTGTGCCTCTGTTTCCCACTGCTCTCAGCCTATTCTCTCTTCCTTGTGTGTCTGTACTGGCAGTTGGGTGGGGGACAGTGGACTTTTAGGTAACCCACCTGGACCGGTCTGCCAGGAAGTGGATCCCTGCAGGAGGATAGAAACTGATTTTCGAGGGGTATAATATTGGTGCATAAATGGAAAAATATATTTAGAGTTAATATTCAATTGCATCTTTGCCAGCTAATGTCAATTTTTCAATTGGTATAGATTTGCCTCAGTTATTCTTCTTTTATGCCAAAACGCCTCTATCGCTGTACTTCTTTCAAGACTTGTACATTTTGGTCAGAGACATCCTTTAGCCACAAGGTCACAGAATCAAGCCCTGTAGCCGCAGATGTGTCCATCAGCAGCCATCTGTCCTGTCAAAATGTCCTTGAACAGAGGACTGGACCCCTACCTGTTCATATGCTGTAAGACTGCATAGGAAAAACCCTAAAAAGGGAAGTCATTATAAGCCTCAATGCAGCAAACCTTGTATGAAATTAGTTGTGGCGGCCATTTTGATAACTGGATTAGCGTTTCTGATTGTTTAGATTATTAGCGTGCTGTGTTGAACCCCTGGCCAGATACTGACCTCACGCTGACTTTGCCTGCGTGCTGCGGCGATGGTACTAATCTTCCAATCAAGTCACAGAAAGACCAGCCTGTGTGCTCACCGTCAAAAACAGATCAGGCCCCGGGAAAAACCCAACCTATCAGTCTGTGTTTTCAGCGGCACGCAGACTGTGTGATGTATGGGGAGGAGGGTGAGTTGGGGTTGAACTGGAAGGAGGGAAGGTTAAGTAGGATGCAGGGAGAGAAAAGGGTCCACTGAGAAAATGATGAAGGGTTGGTTGAGAAATGGAGGCAGAGATGAGAAAAATGTCTCCTCCGTGCTGGAGTCTCCCAATTCATCTGATAAGAGCGGCACATTCAGGTGATGAATGGCCAGTGTCAAAAGTCACTCCGTGTTTCATATTTTCACGTCTGAATGATGGGATTAACGAGATGTAATGATTGCTCCGGGTTGTTGTGTTTGCTTTTCTTGTAGCCTCGGCCACATGTTACACTGCCCTTGATCAAACTGATATCTTCTTTAACCTTGTGCATCTCAAATTGAATTTCCCACCCAAACACATCAGTATTCATGTTCAGCTGGGTCTAAAATGACTGTTTTCCTCACCTGTGCTTTGGCAGGTCACTGAGCATTTCTTGCAGCCACTCAATCCTTTTGTCTGCCACTTCTGAACGTTTCAGAATACTAAACACATGTCACTGGTACCAGACGGTAATATATGGAATGCATCATGTTACCCTGTTCAAGGACTACTTTTTGTAAGGAATTGCTTTTTAAATAATATTTCATAATGCAAGGAAACCTGCAATGGTGACATAAAATGTTTACCAGCCACAGCCAACATTTAGGCAGGTGCTAACTTCATACTGTATACTTCATATTTTCAGAAAGGCTGTTGCCACCTCTAAACTAAGAGTTTTTCAGATTTAGTTTATATCGTATGAAGCCAGAGTTTGTACATTTAAAAAAAAAAATGATTCTAAATTAAACACTTAAGTCTAAAAAGTGCCATTTATTTATATTTGAAAATGTTGTTTATTTCTCCAGTGTGTAACGGAAACACTATTTCACACAGTGATGGAACAATCTCCAAACATGGTGTTTACTTGTGGTCTGTGATAACAAACATCACGTTAACTGTAGCAGCGCATCGTGACGCGCTTTCGTCTGCTGCTTGCTAAATTACCCTGATTGTCATCTTCTCAGGTTTCCTCCTCTGCTGAGAAAAGATAACATCCCTCACTCTATCTGTCCTCAAACATCCCCCTTTCACTATCTTGCCTTCTCTAAATCCAGTTATCTCTCTGCTCTCATGATGATGATGACCGTTGCATATCTGTTCAATCTTAACAGTACTGCTTGCTATTTCCTCTTTTTCTTTTTTTGATCAGCCTGTGATGTTTTCAGCTTGTAGTCAGAATTGAGTGTAAACCCACATGTTGACATATTTGTGTCATATGCCAGTAATACTGCACAACTTATTGTTTTGTCTGTAATATTTGTTGGTTTTCCACATGAATAGTTTTAGAATTTAGTCACATAACTTTCATGTCTTTCATTATCTCCAATGTATACTTACTTTGAAGATCCTAAGTCAAAACAACCAATTAGTCATGTTCTCCAAATCATTCAGATGAATATTATGTCATTTCTATATTGAGCAGATTTAAGAAGACATCAGTACATAATTAAATATAAACATCTCTCTTTTTTTCTTTGAAGAATTTCTAAGAACATCCCCACCACTAAGGACGTGGAGCCGCTGCTGGAGATCGATGGAGACATCCGCAGCTTTGAGGTCTTCCTGTCCTCCAGGACCCCCGTGCTCGCTGCCAAGGATGTGGAGATGTTCCTGCCCTGCACTGTCAACCTGGACCCCAAACTCAGGGAGATCATAGCAGGTTCATACACACTTAGTATTTAAACACATGGGTGAAAACCTTGAGGAAAACCAAGATACAATGTTTTAGTAAGGTGTTGGACCTTGGTATAGAAGTCTAAAGATATTCCCTCATCTGGTGTTTTGATGGAGCTGGAGACTGCTGTCTTACATGTCTCAATATGTTTTTCTGTGGTTGACATCAGAGGCCTATACTACGAAGCTGGTTCAACCTAACCTGGATATGTTTGAGTTAGCCGGTTGGCCTAATCCAAGACATACGCACTCTCGCTAAGCTGTACTACGACACGGGTTATCAAGTGGATCGCTCAAGCCAGCCGTTTCTAGTTAGGTGCGCGTTCACATGAAAGGGGTGGTATTTGGAGCATTCGACCAATCACAAACATGGACAAGCGTACTGACAGCGCAGCGTCATACTTCCTGAATGAAAAGTCAACTATAATATTAGACAAATATAAAGAAGTTAAACTTTAAACATCCATGACTTAAACACTTGATCCAGGATAAAAGCCACAGAGCTGCACCTGCAAGGTGAATACAGCTGGTAACAGAAAAAGTGTTTGAATGCGTACATTAACAGGTTTATGATATCACTGCTAAGACACGAGTGGATCTGACTTTAATTACATTTGTCTCGAGTGTTTCGTCAACTTAATGTGTTGCTTAAAATAATACTTCTGCATACAGTATGTGACACTGTGAGTGTTGCACGGCCAGATACGGCTCAGCTGACTCAGATAAGAAAATATATGATACATTATGAAGTGATATGCAGCGGACTGTACTTAATGTTACTCTGATCCGGTTACTTATGTTGTGGCAGATATTTAAGTAAGCTTTCTTAACGCTAATGTTATAATAGTCAGATTGCTCTGAAGATGGAGGTGATATTCTATTAATGTTCACGTTCACACAGTCGGTGATTTTTGCCGGCCGTCTTTCCTGCGACGGCAGCTTTTCTGTATTTCCTTTCTCCTGTAATATGACTTGATCGCTTTAAACTCCGCACACTGAGCTCTGATTGGTCAGCAGGCAGTGCTTTCGCTGAGTTGATCTCTTAGCCTGCAACCTAACCTGCTCCGGGGCAGGTTAGCCGCACAGCATAAGTTACCATGGAGATCTAGCCTGCTAAAAAGAGAACCAGCTTCGTAGGACTGGAAACCCCGAGTTTTCCCTGAAGTTAGCCGGCTAAGCGAAAATCATGCTTCGTAGTATACCCCCCAGGTCACTGCGAAGACCACAGCATATTTATATATTTTTCTCTAGACCTTGGAAACAGCAGTTTGACAAAACATGTCAATACATGTTCCAAATTATTGTTTTTCTCCAAACTTTCAATTACATCTCATGGCCTTCTTCTACAACTAAACTTTGTCATGGATGTTATTTTGTTGCTATGATGTGACAACCATACAACAAATAAACCATCTCCCCGACAACAACAACAACAACATTGTGGTTTAAAGCCTCAGAAACAACAGTCAATTTGGAACCTGAGGCACAACCTTGTTTAAAAAGCCACAGCATGTGTTACATCATTTTTATTCCCAGCAAACTAGCAATCTATCTTATTAAAACTATTTTAATATATAATTAGATTTACTTTTCAATTATTCTTATATATTGACTTTTACTTAGTCCAATATGTATACAATTATAAAGCCTAAAATCTATAAAGCACCCTCAATGCATGTTTATCAACAGGGGAACATTAAAATACCTGCATTTAAAAACTGAGGCATGGAATTAGTTTTATATTCTAAATGTACGCTGCTTTAAATCTGAAGGGTGTATTTAGAAAGTTTTAAGTTCCCACTAACTAGAAAGCTTAACATGTGGTGAAAACAGATGGATAGATATCAATATGCATTTGAGTAAATACTTTGTTCTACATATTCTTGTGTTAGCTCAAGATGACATTGCCTTCACGCTTTTAATTTGTCATCATGACAAGGAGTGTGTGCATTAATATATGTTTGTTTGTGTGTGTGAGAGAGAAAACAAAGTTTATTGTACTGTTTTGTCTAAAGTACATAAAAGGGTCGTGTATACAAAAGCATGGAGAAACAGAGATCTGTCCTCTGTGTTGAGTTCAGTGCCAGCTCATTTGGCAGTGACGTTACTCCTAACATTGCAGCAGGGTCCGCTCTAAAATCGCCCGCTGCAGGAGCTCTCAGAAGCCTGCAGCTTGCTTTTCATTTCCAAACAATCAAATGTCGAGCAGGTTTTCACTTCCGCACTGTGGGATCAGGGCAATATTTCCAAACTGCCTTCAAAAGTCACAGTTATAGGGACGTAACAGTGCATCAGTAGTAGAGTGTACGCCACTGTACTCAAGCTACCGTGCGTCAGCGTCCATTCAGCCCATACAGGAGTGTCAATGACGTTGAGTGTGAAGCTGCTGCATCATGGCGTTATGAGACTACAGGAAACACTCACACACACACACAAAGTCTGTTCTATTGAGCTGAGTCATGGAAGGCGCAGCTGACCAAGTTCTCCAACCAGACGTCCAGTCTCCTGTCCTAAAAGTGTTCAACTGTTTACATGTATTCACAGAACATGTGTTTGTGCGCTCAAAATTGTGTGGGTGTTTTCACCTCCACGTGTGTTCCCGTGGAGCGGAAGGTGACCAGCGCTCCTACTCAGTCGTCCCGTGACCGCTCGGTGCTTGGTGCCCGGTGTCCTGTGGGCAGTGCTGTCAGTGATACCCACCCATGAGCCTGACTCACATCATAAGGCCCCCATTGTGTTCACAGGCTGGATTGGGTCTCGCTCAGCGTGTCATTCAGCAGCCACTTGTATAACCAGGAGACATTCTGGTGCCTGCTTCTCTTTCTGGTGCTTACTTTCTTACCAGCCACACAGAGCCACTCTCTGTTCTGTCCCTGGGTTTTTTTTAACTTTAATTTAGGAGGTTTTACCAAAGCTCCCTCTCCTAGCGCCTACTCAACTCCGCACAAAGTCAAATTGATTTATGTGAGAACAATTGTGGCTCTGAGTACTTAGACGAGTCCACGAGTTCACATGGTCCGCTTTGTTTGTTTACATTTCTGAATGTACTTGTCAGGGACAGCAAGGGCCTCCATGTGCCAGAGTCATCACGTGGTTGGCAAATCATTCGGCAAAGACATAACATCAGACCGCCTGCTGGTTTGTGAACAAACAGATGAATGGAAATCAAAGTGAGAATAGAATTCACAGTTGAAGTTTGTTGTAGTCGTAACATCTGCGCTCGTTTTCTCTCCAGCATTCAGTCGTTTGATCGTCTTCTATTTAAGGATAACATGTTCAGGAACAATGTTCTTGTTGTATCCTCTACTGCGCCTCAAGAATATTTCTGTCTTGCACGCCGATTGGTTGATATGTTTTTTTCCCTGTGGATTCACAACAGTCTAAACTCTCTTGAGATGTTGGAATAAAGCTAAATTATTGATGCGTGGGTGGATCTGAAGGGTCTTTATAGTCATAGCCAAGACATGATCATCAGCATCTCAGATAAACACTTCCTTCTCTCTCCTCTTTTGTTTCCCCTTGGCTCTGTCCTCCCTCAGATGTGCGTGCCGCCAGGGAGCAGATGCACATCGGAGGAGTGACCTATCCCACGCTGCCCCTGCAGGAAGCTCTGCCCCGCCCCCATTCAGGTTATGGCCAGCACTCTGCCGCCTGCTCTCCAGCGGGCTCCTTCGCCGGGTCACTGCCCCCTCCTCAGCCTCACAGTGCCTACTTCAGTGGGATGACCGGCCCTCAGCACCCCTTCTATAACCGGGTGAGACAGGAAAATAACTCATGTGTACATAACCAGTCCTCATTCACTACCTAGAGGCCAATAAGTGTTAAAGTAGAAAAGCAAAACAATTTGGTAATTTAAAAATGAAGTCAATACATGTGTCACTATCTTACAGCGATGAAAGGAGCACATCCTGTGACACCCACTGATCCTCACCACCACACTGATCTCAGACGTTATTATAATGTAGCATCAATTTGACCCACTTGGCAGTTAAATACATTGCAGTTAACAGGTCTTTAAATGTACCATATGACCATGGTTTTTCATTACCTCACTGAGAAAGGCAGTTAGCAATATCGTCTTTTCCCTGCAGCATTTTGGTTTGTGTGTGTCTGACCTCCCTCATGATTTACATTTGATTTGTCCCCCCTCCCCTCTCCTCTCCAAACTCCTTCCTTTTCCCCCTCATAGCCTTATTTCCCCCATCATGTGTATCACCTGCCTCGGCCTTACTCCCACCACCATGTCCCCCCATACTCGCGTCCCTCCATTAAACCACCTGGTCAACTTAAGGACAACCCCAATGGACTTGTAAGTAAAGAAGTAGTGCTAGATCCAACTTTAATTAGTTTCTTTTCTCACACCTAATCATTACAGCTGCAGATTTGCTTTTTAATGTGTATAATGCAACAATATTGTGTCTATAATGCGATTGAAAGTTAAAATATGTTGTTGTGCTTTTCTGACTCTCTTTTACTGTTATTTTCCTTCCTTCTTTACTCAATGTTTCCTAACAATACCAATTCAAAGTGATCGTGTTACATTTTTATTATAATTAAATTGCAACAATTAAACTTACAAACGCTTAGGATGTAGTGCTATGTAGGGTCTGACATGGCACTCATTTTTTCAGTTAATAATACTTCATATAACCTTTATTGTAGAGCTATTATTAACTTAGGAATTTATGACACATTTTATTGCACTATCCAAGGAAATAAGTCATTCTTAATAATAAAAGGAACACCTAATTGCCATGGTGACCTGAAAACAGCCAGGTGCGTATTATATTGACTTATTTTGTCAGGTCCATTGTGTCTAACTACTAGCATGACTTTTTTACAACACTTCCTCTTTAAGAAGCACTTTCCTCCCCTTATCTCCCTTTACTCATTGCAATGTGTCATGTTTTACCCGTCTACACCATGTTCGACTGATCAGCTCTTAACGCTGCTGGTATTTCTCAGTGTGAGTCCAGGGAAATGCAATGAGATGTTAAAATGAGTTCAACCATCACTAGCCTTTCTATCTACTCAGCACTTGTCTCCATTCTGTGCCTATGTCAGGATGTTATTGCAGAGGATGCCAGAGAAGGCCTCCCTTCATGTCCCTCTGATCCCACCATGGTAACATGTAGTAGTTGTGGAGCACTACGGATATGCAACCAGTTCTTCATAACCTGCATGTTTGCAAACCTCATTTGTTATTTCTTGTGTTGGATGTAAATTGCATGACTACATGTTTGACAGACTACTTGTTTTGTTGCTGTGATCAACAAAAGCCGAGAGAATACATTTAGACGGTTGCACACGCTGCAGAAAGCTTACATTAGATACTGTTTCCGTCGCGACTCTGACCACCCGCTATCAAGAGGTGTTCTTTTTTTTTGTCACAAGATTCAGCATATGTAAATATAACATGCTGAATGAAGTCCACTCTGATGTTGGCGCAGTAGCTGTTCCCGTTCTCCTATAAATGGACATAAAAGTGTTGTTAAGCCACTTCACGAATGCATGGAGTTGCACTGACAAGAGCCCAATCTCCACACCCAGATACATTCACACATTTTATGAGAGAGCGGACACTATTAGAACAATTTCATGATAACACTACTCGGGAGATTTCTGCTCCACAAAGCCACTTATCAGGCCGCTGCCAGAAAGCTTTTTAAAGGAGCTGTTTGAAAGATTGAAATATAGATTATTTTGTAATGTTCATTCCATTCTCAGTCTGTATTTTTGCTTCCTCCCTCCTCCTTCTCCTAAACCTTCCTCACTCTTATATTTTAACACCCTTTTCTGTTCCTCATATCTCCTCTCATGCTTTTGTGTCCTTTCCCCCTAAGTATACATTTCTTCAGTTTCTCTCATTCTGGCTTTTCTATGTACATTAGCCCATCTTATCCTCTTTTTGGGTCCTACTTGATCTCTTTGTGTAGTGTTCACATGTGCCTGTATTTCTGCAAATCTGCAAATGTAGACGTGTGTGCACCGTCGCCCATTTATGCAAGTCCTTGGATATGTAAGCAGGCCTAGCCCAGTGTAATTGCTTAGCTGATATAAGGGTGAGTATGGATTCCTCGGGCTGCCGGGATTATCGTCAGAGCAACTGTTGGGGCTGGCAACACACACACACACACACACACACACACACACACACACACACACACACACACACACACACACACACACACACACACACACACACACACACAATGAGCCTAGCGCTGGTAGGAGAGCTTATCTCCTTACCAAGACGCTTCCTCCCTCACAGAGCTCTGTTTCCTCTTCCCCATCCTTCTGCCCAGCCCTGAGCTCAGCCCAGCTGTAATTACAGTCTTATCACACACACACACACACACAGTGGGAGGGTTCACAAAAAAACACGCACATACAGACACACCCGCAGACATATACGCTTTCGCTCAAGTTCTCAGAACACACGCTTGCAGTCTGAATCGAGGAGTCGTATTCGCGGTCTTCCTTGAATTGAAACTTCTGCTTTTTTCTATGCAGAGTGTGAGATGTCTCATTTTCTTTTTCTGGGTCTTTCTCTCTGTCTCGCCAGTATTTCTTTCTGTCTGCAAAGATTATGACTGCAAACGCCTGCTGACTCCCCTGAAAACAAAATCGCCTTGTGTAATAATTCTGCTTTCAATAGCCTCTTCTAGTCTGGCTGCTGTGAAGGAGCCGTCTCCCCTCCTGCTGGGAGACAGATACATGTCTGTCTGCTCTGTGGTCAATGTTTCTCCTGTCCCCTGAGGATGGGTTCAACATGTGTGCTTGTCCGTCCGTCTCCCTGTCGCCCTCCCTTTTCCACAGGTGCAGTCCTGGCTTCACACTTTCATGAATGTCTGTGTGCATTTGTGTCTGACTATTTGTCCGTCTGCTTTTGTTGTCTCCATTTTAAGCATTTAAAGTCGCTGCCTTACAAATTAAAGCAGGTACATCTCTGTTTACTTTCATCTCTGCATCCAGCCCTTGAATCCATCTTCCATTTACAAATTCCTAACACACTGATCCACTACTACCAAGCATGCTGTAGAAAGATGTATTAGACTCATCACTTGGAAGCAGACACAGCGTCACACCCTGCAATAGATCAGTAGATTCACTAACATAGTTTCATTCTAGAGTAAATCCTCAACTGTGTAGACACGACCATTAGCTAAACTCCCCGAGTGCTAATCGCCATCCTCTTGCCCACCACTGCAGAAAGTTGGCACCTATTATTGTGTACTGTATTGTGTGAGCTGCTTGTTTTTTTTTTTGTCCAACAACCACTCACAGTCCGACTAAGCTCTGCTGCTCTTCTCTCCCTCCAAACCAGAAACAAAGCCGGGGGGCTTAGTCTGAAGCCTTGTCTTAATGGTGTTAATAGCCGAGAGAGGGAAGAGATGGCGAGGGAGGGAGTAGGAGGGAGAGTGATGGAAAAGGGAGCAAAGCTGAGAGGGAAGGAATGTGAGAGGAAGGAAGGAAGGGAGGGAAGGAAGGAACAAGAGTAAGGCTTCAAGACAAGCAGAGGGACAGGGGTGAGTGGAGAAAGGGAGGGGAAGGAGATGAGGTTTGTTTAGTTTTGTGCCAGCCGGTGGCTTATTGGCTGTCTGTGAGGCCTTTGACAGCATCAACAGGCCGCCCCTATTACTCACATCAAGCCCCGTACTGTAGTGTGGCAACTCACAGACTTACAGACTCCATCCCTTAAGTGTTGTGCACACACTTTACGTGCTTATATAAACACTGAGAAAAGAGAATAAGAGCAGGTAACAGTGTATTTGGAAAGGTTGGCAGCTTTGTTTACTTTTACACTTACACTGTGTGACTGATGGAGAGAGTGACTGTGTGGGATAGTGGTTTTGCACCTCTGTGTGCCTCACAGTAACAGGCCTGCACGTGCCTTTGCAAGGAGTCGTTGGTCGTTTTGCCCTAATCAAGGTTTTACGAGTGATGAGTTGGTCTAACAGAGTTTGCAAGTTTTACCTTTTAACCTTAACTCACGAAAAAAATCCTTAATAAGTTGTTTATACTCTAACTGTGTGTGCAGGTCTCTTCTGCGGCCCTGCTGAGCTCCATGAACACAGATGCAGTGTGTGAGCGGCTCAGGCAGTTAGATGGAATCGACCCCAGCATGCTGCCTCAGTACGCCTCCACCATCAAGAAGGTGAGCTGTCAATAACTTTCAAAATTGGATCCATTTTCTCAGATGCGGTTTTCTTTTCATACTCGTTGCATAGCTTAATTCACCGCTGCCTCTGATTGAATCTGCTTTTTTTTGGCTTGATGAAATCTTGGTACATACAAGTCAATCAGTGGAGAAAGTGTCAATCCGTCTCCTTCATTGCAGGCCAATATAAATGGCCGAGTGCTCTCTCAGTGCAACCTGGACGAGCTGAAGAAAGAGATGGAGATGAACTTTGGGGACTGGCAGCTCTTCAGGGGAACGGTGAGACAACGTCTTTCTTTGAGCCTCTTTACTATGCCTAATATTGTTGTTTCCCATCTAAATAAATGGGCCATCACCACCATAAATGATAAAGAATCAATGCACCAACCACAATACTTAACTCCTAAAAAACTCTTAGTCTAAAATAGATTTACAGCAACACACATTCGCCTCACTCTGTGATGCTTTGCAGACACTCAGCCCTGCCATGGCCTCCTGCTGATATGTCATCTCTTGTTTATTCCAATAAGAAGCAACACAGTATCTTGTAATACGACATCTTGTGCTGTGCTGAGAGGTATTGGGATGGAGATTTTATAATCTGTATTACCATCAGGGCTGTCAGCCAGGAGTCCAGTCAGCTGAGCCGGGGCTGAAATGACTTAACATGTATCTAGCTTCACTTCATCAGACGTCTGTCTGCACTCCTAATTCTAAACCACAGCCTGGATTGGTCGTGTTTTACCAGAGATCCAATGCAGAGCTCATGTAGGAGCAGCTGGAAAGTGCAGCGGTCTAACAGTGAAGTGCTGCCAGGACACAGCCAGCACAGACATCTGGTTCAAGATGGCTGACTGCTATCTGGAAGAAGGGAGGTTTTGTCAGGCAGGAGTGGACGGCTCTTCTTAAGCAACAGCTCACTCTCACAAGTGCATGTTCTGGTTGTTGCTGCCTGACACGTTTTGTATTTAAGAAATTGACTCAAACGGACAGAAGTCAAAGGACGTGTTGAAAGGAAATATGGATTGTTTTCATGTCTTTCCTAGGTGATGGAGCTACGTCATGCTGAAAGCCACGCTCTGATCCAAGACGAGTCCCGAGCTGCGAGCGAGCAGGGCAGCAGCGTGCACCACGGGGAGCCCAGCAGGCGCTCGGGGGGGGCCCAGCATGAAGCAGCGGCCTTCAGCCTGAACCTCAGCTTCGAGGAGCTGAGCGGAGCGGGGCTCGAGGAACCTCCGAGACACAGCAACAACACACACTGGCCGGTCAGTCTTCCTGTCACGAGCTCAGTGGAAACGTACCAGCAGATAGTGTTAGACAGACGTGAAATGGGTGTATGCACATAATACCAACACGTATATGCCTGCAGAAAGATAAGAGGCATTCAAGTTGCTGATGCAAGTATACATGTGATCGTGAAACACAAAATCGGAAAAGGAATCACAAGGTCACACACCCCAAACTGTTGCATGGCCACAACGAGCAGAGTGTTGGTAACCTCACTGGTTTCATATTAATGTGGTTTGAAATGCGAGAAAAGAGCAGGGCAGAGGAAGCTTATGGTGTACTTTAACATTGCCAAATTAAAAATACACCCACTGCAGCACACCAAAATGTGTCAAGGGCCCCCTGTTCCTTTTCACCTTCTCTATTTCCAATTTACAAAACCTCTGAGGCACGAACAAACACTCACAGGCTGCCTGCTGCTATTTTATACCATCTCACCTTTCAATATTCAAATTATCCAACACCAAAAACACAACACAGCTTTCCCCATGTTCTAAGTATTCCATTAGTTGATCATTGTTGAATTTGTGCACCCTTTTTATATGTATTATATTCTGGTGTCAGGTTATCAGCCTAAAATCATTCAGTTATCTCATACTTTTGGAATGAGTATATTTATAACAAACTTTCATGAAATCTAACTTTCTCTCATCTTGTCAGGTTGCAAATCTTCGTGCCTCGAGCATGTCCAGCCTCAACTCTCAGGAATCCTCTAATGACATCTGCAAGCTGACAGACAAGCAGCAGGCGGAGTACCATGACGCCTACAAGGAATACATCGCTCAGATGGCCCAGGTGGAGATGTCCGGCACTGGGGGGGAGAGGCCGGTGCAGCCCCTACCGGGACAGTTCCTCCAGGCTGCCAGCTCAGAGGACAAAGGGGTGGGTGCACAGTGACCGGTGCTGAGTTTTTGCCATTGTATCGCTGACAGTATGAACTGTGTAGAAGCTCCCACTGGCAGATCAGTGTGGTAATCATAGGGACACTTCGCCCCCACTAAAGGACCATTTGTATAACAACTACTCACTTATTTTACCTTGAATTGTTGAAGAAAATGTTTCTCGCATGTCTTTACTGGTAAACTAAGAATCCAAAAACAGAGAAAGGTCTTGATGAATGAAAGGAACATTTGTAGAGTGATTCTTTTTGCTAAACCCTCACTATTCAAAACATTTAAATGGCACTCATTTACTTGGATTCATCAAGACTTTTCTTTGTGTTTTGTTTCACCATGGAGGCATGCAATAAACCCTGTTTTCAATGAGAATTGTAGTAGAACTTGAGTAGTTGTACAAATTGTATTTTTGGTGGAAGTACTGATTTGAGTTCTCTAAAACTTTATTTAAATGATCTCTGGCTTGTGCGATGGCAAAGTCTGTGCTGGGAAAGGGGAGATTGCTCCTTCTTACGTTTCTTAATTATTGGCTTATAGTCTTTGTTTCTCTTGGCACATCCAGGAGGGAGAAGAATCCCCTCTTCAGGGCCTCTTGGCCAATCCTAGATTCTGTATATTCATATTCTTCTCTTTGAATCCTCTTCCCTCTCTGCAGGCCAAGGAAGGCGCTGACCAAGACAGCCGCAAGTCCTTCAACAAGAGAGGCTCCAAGACTAGTGACGCCACAGACTTCTCCTCAGGGGCCGATGCCCTGCCTCTAGACCCCATCAGTGAAGAGGACGAGAAGCTGGACCACAGCACATCGTCCAGGACGCCGGGCTCCAGGAAGAAGGGAGCCGGGTCTCTGTACCACAAGCTGCCCAACGATGAAGACTCCGGGCCAGAAGAAGCTGACAACACCACACCTCTCCTCCATGAAGAGGATCGAGTCCAGTCCAGCGGGCTGCTGGCCAAGCCTGGCTTCCTCTCCGAAATCCTCCTGGATAAGAAGGACTCGTCGGACTCGGGGATGCGCTCCAGCGACAGCTCCTCAGACCGCTCCCTGGAAGAGGCTGAAGGAGACGGAGAAGCTCTGAAGCCCAGTCTGATCGAGCTGGAGCTGGAGGGCCTGGTGAAGAAGAGAGGTCTCCTCCCCAGCAGCCTGAGCGGCCTGCAGGACGTCCGCATGTCCATCTGCTCCGAGGCCGCGTCCGAGGCCAGCTTCATGGCCAGCAGCCCAGATGAGGGCTGGCCGTCCAGCGGGGTCGGCAATCTCAACTGCACCCCCGGCAACAGCACCCTTAATGACAACGCACACAGCCCTGACGACCCTTACACCAACAACAGCCATCTGCAGCAGGCTAGCATGACAGGCACGGAGTCCACCATCTCCTCCTCCAGCATCGACGACTCGCCAGCTGTCATCATCACCCCCGGCAGCAGCAGCACTGCCAACACCACAACTGCAGCCATCCACAACCAGAACCTGCGCACCATCAGCCTGGGAGACGAGATAGAGAGCGCCCTCTGAGGAGCTGCCGACTGTGTGACAAGGGTCATGTAGACTTTTTCATGTTGTTGTGCATTATTGTGCTGTTGGTGTTGTGACTTGTTCCAAAGAACTAGATATTAGGAAGGAAATGTAGAAAGTGTTGCTGTGAATCAAGATTAGTAAACAAAAGCGTCAATTATTTGGTTAGTTAAAAAAAATAACTTTTATTTAAACAATTGATGCATCCAAACAAGTGGTAATTAATGATACCAAAAATGCTTCAGTCAGGTCAAATTGGGATTGCTTAACTTTCCAATACAATTGGAATATTAAATTATTATGTGAAAGTGATGCGGTTATGGATATAGTGTGTCTAGTGATGAAATGTTACATGTTGTGGATATCATATTGTTACAGAAAGAAACGTGTGTATTTGAGGAAATGTAGTAATGACCGATAAAACAAGGTTCTGTGTTGCGGAAGACTATTGTCTCCGCAGTGTGCAGTGGTGTGTTTGGTAGATGGAATGTCTCAAATAGATGACAGTGTACACAGTGGTGCAGTCAGTGTGTTCTTGGCAGGTTATGTAGTAGTATAAGTGCATGCACTAGTTTCCAAAGTGATTGTCTCTTCCAAATTGTGAACGGGTGTTGTGTGAATCAATAAAGATTCTGCTATGTTGACCCTTGAAATAGTTCTCAGTCTAACTTTCTTTCAGGAAACTCAGCAGTTTGTAGAGAAAGGCCCCGGAGATCCTTCACTAAAGAAATGTGATATTTTACCTGATGCAGGTTAGGAGAAAAGAGGTTGAGATGCAAAGGGAGGGCGTCACTGCAGGAGCCATGTTCTCCGATAGATGGCGCACTCTCCATACAAACGTGCTGCAGGCTGGAGTCACGGACCCTGCCTGACTGCTATAAACCTCTGAGGGTAACATATGCAGGTCAGTGACTCTCATCATGGATCTGCAGGGGTCTTTGATCAGGATTTTGAGGTACTTTCGTATTTATCTGAAAATAAATCTTCATTACAATTTACATATGAATGTCCTTTGAATACAGTGTTCATGTATTGTAAAATGTAAAGGTGAATGTTTCTACAGCTTAGGCACTCAATCAAGAAAGATCCCATTAAGTGGTCCCTGGGGAACAATCAGGAAATGGGGGTCCATAGCTAATTTGGCGGGTCGTTTGTGTGAAGACATTTGAGAAGCCATGCCGTATTTAGGAAGGAGATGATGGACAGTTGGGTTTCACTTCAGGGTTATAGTATACCACCTTGACGGTACATTGCGCACGGCACTATAATGAACATTTAAGACATGCACCCAAAGATTATTATAGAAACCGAATTAACAAGCAGTAGCCTACACCCCAGCATTGCGTGGTTCACTATTTTCATATTACCTGGTCATTTATCACTGGAATTCCATTAGAAACCACAACTATTTCGGAGTGGAATTTAAGGCAAATTCAAACCCAAATTAATGTTTGAAAATATAATAAAAACCTATGATGGATATTACTTCTGGAATCAGTAACGTATCTCCGGCCCAGTTTGAGCTTCAAGGTGAAATTCCAACAGCCCACAGCTATAGCCAGTCACGCTGAACCAATCCTACATAGCATGTGAGAAAGTTAGAGTACAGTGCGCGTTGAATAAGCTTTTATGAAACGTTGTGCCTCCAGGTCGTGTTTGCCTCGGGGAAGTGTTGACACTGTGTTTTAGACTATTATAGCTCACATACTGCAGGACTGATAAGGACACTTTGTTGTGGGATCTGTGTTTTGAAGTGCGTCAAATGTTCACTTTACATACAACACTGCATGTATACTGAAAGTCAGCTGGGAGACGGTTTTTACGCACTGCTTTGTCTTCTAAACCACTGACCCCAACCTCCCCCACAATGAAACATGTTCAAGTTGCGTTTTCGATTTATTTTTGTATAAAAAAGGTACGATTTACATTACTTTTATAAAAAGTTTCAGCATAATTAAGTACAACATTACACTTTTGCAGAAGTTTCAAATTTCTGCAACTATACAAGATAAACTCCCGATAAGAGTTCACAAGGTTTCATTCTTAACTTTTTTTTTTAAACAACGTCCAGTCCTTCATGTGCCAACAAATCTGACAAGACAAAGACTAAACTTTTTACAGTAACTAACCAAGTTGTCTTTTCTATTCACGTTCCCACCTCCGCAAAAAAAGCGAAGAGATTCAACAAGGAGAGAGGGACGGGAGTGAGGAGGGGAGAAGGGTAATCCTTGTGACAATAATCTCGTTTTTCCTCCCACTGTCGGGAATATAGCGTGCCTTCCATTTCCAGAAAGGACCCACAAATAAAAAAAGTCTTAAGTTAAATAATAATGAAGTGTCCAAACAGAAAACACATCACATAAGATTGTCCCATTATAAGCAAAAGTCTCTTGATTTCAGCGTCAGAAGAAACAAGAAAAAAATCCAGGCCTGGAGGACAGAGGTTGAAGGGGGGGGGGGGGGGGGGAAGTCCTGCTCCCCAGGTCCTGTGTGTGTTTTTGCGTCTTGACCAAACACCTGCAAAAGATTGAGAAAGAGAGGCGTGTTTAGAAAATGCAAACAGGGCAGAGATCCGGACAGACTGGCGCCAGGGAGGAAGCCGCAGTTTTTAACATTTAACCAAACACTCCCAATTCCTAAGCAAACCCTGCGCTCCAGATGTACACACAGAGAGAGAGAGGGAAGGGGGGGACTCGCACACACACTTTTCGCACAACTTCAGCCTACAATCTGGGGAAGAATCAGCGTAATTGCCGCTCAGCTGGCGCCTACCCACTTCTTGTACCAATTATGTGCAGACATCGTAGTAGCAGTAATCCAAACAGCCATTATTTTCCTGTTGCAGATGCTCTTCATTATAGACACAAGAGGGTATAATACAACCCTGACGACTGCTACTTATATACAGTAACCTAAGCAGCCTGGACCGAATATCTTCCATTTCAGTACTCCAAACTGCAACTGAAATGTGCCAGCAAAATGTCTTAAAACAGCACATGAGAACAGAATTATTCCATTAATCGTGGTCACCATACTGACACATTACAGTCCTGAAGGGGCCCCGTTATGTGGTATTTTTGTTTCAGATATTGCTTTGCTACAATGATAAATAAAAATCATAAAGGATCAAATTTGAAGTCAAGTCAACCCTAAACCTCATAACCTCGGTGATGCAGTGCATTCTCGTGCAAAACATATCGGGACCATTACAGCAACGTGAGACGTCAACCACATTAGCAGGGAACAAATGGATTGGTAAATGGTAATTCTAGCCAATTCTGCTCCAGCAGACTGGGAGACAGGCTGTAGCGGAGCCTCAGAGCCCTGGACAGAATGCAGCAGCAGACATGAGGACAGCCTACTTACCGCTTTAACGATGCAGAGTCCGGCTGTCATCTGTCATCAGCTCTGATGGCAACTCCGGGGACTGAAAACAAACAAACAAACAGACCAAATGTTATTTCTTTACCCGGCAAACGATCGAAGTGTCTGGCTTTGCAAACACTGTTATGTAGGGCGAATCTCTTCCTCATCACATGTACAAAAGAAAAAAAAACATGCCATTTTCTTTTCCAACAAGCCATTTTGTGCGAGTTACGCATAGGCTACAAAGGCGCACCGGCTATGCGCACAAATAGAGCTCCACTACACATCTCCCATAGCACACCACGGTATCGTTTTCCCAATTATGAATGTTGTTTAGCTGAGGTGTTATTTACCTGTAATGACAATATGCTGATATCTGTGTTGAGGGTCGTCAGAGGGGTCCTGGAAGGAGCCTGCCCCGGCCGCGGAGGGTGATGCAGGCTGGTTAGTGCGACACTGGAGTCCAGCGCGATCTGGAGGTCCAGAATGTAGTCGATGACATGCTGCAGGATTTCCATCTTGCTGACGTTCTTGTTCTGGGGGATGCTGGGCACCAGCTCCTTCAGCTTGGAGTAGCAGTCGTTCATGTTGTACAGCAGGGAGAGCGGGTCATCCACCGGGGTCTTGCTCCGAGAGATTCCCAAGGAGTGCTCCGATAAATTCGCGTTGGTTTTCCTGAAAGACCGAACAGGGCTTATTGCTTTCATTTTGTCAGTGTTAAGTTAAGCGAGAGGGTTTGTGTTTTGTCGATATCTTGCTTCTTTAAAGTCCTGTATTTGCCAGACGATCAGCGATCAGACTGGATTACCAAGCTGTCAGTGTGGTTTATATAGGCAGCAGGTTGGGCATGCGACAAAGGCGGGACAAGCGCGCTGATTGGACAAGCACAATATGTCACTCAAAGCCATTCAGTTATACTATTGGCTATTGCGCTTAAACCCCTCCCCTTCCCTGCCGTGTTACCAGTGGCAACACATGTTGGAGGCGGAACCCAGAGGGCGCTTCAGCAGCTCCAGTGGGCAATTTGGGAAATTAAGCCCTTACCTGTTTCTGATCAAGAAAATGAATGCTTTGCATGGCTCCCAATTGAATATGGCCAAGGTGCGAGCACGCGCCAATAAATGTACCTCCAAGATATACATTTCATCTTGTCATGAAGAACAAGCGATAGTATTTTAATAAATGTGCTCACAATTATTATTCAAAACACATTTTCATTCATATATTTACGACAATGCAAATGTTTATATCTGATAACACATCTTAAAGATATAACTATAACTATGATATTTATTTTCCAGCCATCAGTCATTCTTCATTTATTGTTGACATGTGCGCGTTTGGAGGTGTGGAGCAGTGATGACAGATGCCATATCAGGCGCGTCTGATGATTCTTAATTCACTCCAGCCCGGACTGGTGTGAAGGCAAGTGTCTGAGCCGAATAACAAAGTAAAATGTTTGAGTGGCAAGCGGAAACAGCCTCCACCAGAAAAACTGCTCAGACCAGCGATACAAAAAAAAACTTATGAGTGTGTGTTTACGCATAAGAAAATAAAGCAAAGAGATCTGAACTGCTAGTAGAAATATAGGGTTTGGTAACTTGACGCACCTTAGAATTGTCTTTTCCTTCTTTACCGTTACCAGCAATGTCTTAGATTTATCAAAGTCAAGTTTTAAATGTGATCTACTAAAATGGTGGTAGTGCGCAGTCAGATACAAAATACAACGATCAGGACATCAGCTTTAATGCAATGCTGTTCATAATTGCGCCTCATAACAAATACAGCCAACAATTATTACTCCTATATAGTTTTTCAGGGGTTTGTGTGTGGCAAATGTCAGTAAGGGATGTGGAGCTTTACCAAACGCAGCCATAACCTAAATGTGTTTAAAGTATGGCTGTGCGTAACTAAATGCATCAGTTCTGGTCCCGTGCACTCCAGTCTTAATTGTCACCTGAGTATGTTGTGTGTCAAAGTTCATTTAGTCACGACCGATAAATGTGGCTTTCCTATCTGAGCACGTGAAGAGCTGATTAACTACTATTGACACTTTAATGTTTTCTGAATGAGCCATTTGTTTGTAGGAATTACACGCTTCATTCTTCAGCTGGAGATGGGGGCCTGTTTGATGCTGCACTAACTAATTACCCCCGGGGGCAATTGTGGACTCTTGTGATGTTACATTTCCTCGATGAAAACAAAATCAATGTATCTTCAAAGAGGGGAACACAGTGCAACTTATAAAACTCGGAAAATAAAAGACAACCAATCAGTAAAATGTGAT